ATGTTGCACAACCAAAAGTAAAATTCACAATGTGGTTACTGATGCATGGAAGACTACTGACAACTGATAGATTAAGCAAATGGGGTATTCATGTGAATACACTGTGTGCCTTGTGTCAAGAGCAAGAAGAAACAAAGGAGCACCTGTTTGTACAATGTAGGTAGGCAAGAGCAGTATGGACTAAAGTATGGCATTGGATACAGCTACAATATGAACCTGCTATAAGAGACTGGAATGAATACAGTCAACGGGTCATCAAGTGTTTAAGAGGAAAATCCCAACAAGCACTGATCTTCAAATTGGTCTATGAAGAGGCTATGCATCACATCTGGATTGAGAGGAACTTGCGAATATTTGAACAAAGGAGTAGACAGTGTGAAAACATTGCGAAGGAGATAGCTTATATTTGTTGTCTTCAGGCACCCCTAGAATCAAATCTTGCCTACAGTCTTATGTCTTCTGATATGATCCAATTGTAGGGTAGGGAGTTTTCAAGTGGAAGTTTTCTTTGTTTGTTTCCTATTTAGATTGCTTAATTTGGTATTAATAAAATTAAGTTAGTTACCAAAAAAGGGAAGTACGTGTTGCGGAAGCCAAATGTATATAGTGTGAATAAGTCACAACTACTATACCAAAAATTATGACAGCCACCAAATAATAAATAAGACAATAAAACAACAATAAAGGGAACACCAGAATTTACGAGGTTCGGCTAATTTTGCCTACTCCTCGGACACAACCAATATTTTANCGATAGTAAATCTCTTAGTAATTTGGCACATTGTTTTTATACTCATGTTTTATTTGGTTGTCTCTAGATATTTCTTTTTAATCTTGATGAATAAAGATAAGTAAGACTTTGCATACATGTATATGTAGGCATCCAGAAGGCCTATATTTGTTACGAACCAAGCCCATGTTACGTATTACTCGCTTTGGACCTAAGCCTCGATGAATTTGTCTTTTTGGTTATGCCACCTCGAATCTCAAAAACACGCATACCATGTGAACTTGTGTCATGCCTTATAAAGCTTTTCACTTTCCTCTCCCATTCTGATATGGAATTTGCCAAAGGTAGCACGTGCACTCCTTTTTCAGAAGCTTGCTAGCCTAGAAGCCTGACAGTCCTGCTTGACCCGTGCTCATCAGCTCGCCCTTTGTCATGAGCATCACATTCATCCTCCCCCCCTCCTCCCTGGGACTTAACGTCCTCGCTGAGGTTTGTCCCACCACCTTCTCAAAGATATGGGATTCGCCTAAACTATTTTGATTGTTGAGGTTTGCCCCGTCATCGTACTAAGGGAGATTCGCTCTGATACTATATTTGTCACGACTCAAGCTCATGACACGTATTGTCCGCTTTGGGCCTAGGCCCCTATAGATTTGTCTTTTGGGCTATGCCACCTCGAGCCTCAAAAGTACGCGTATCATGTGAACTAATTATATCATATCTTATAAAACTCTTTACTTTCCTCTATCATTCCTATGTGAGATTTGCCTAAGATGACATGTGCAACCTTTTTTTAGAAACTTGTCAGCCTAGAAGCATGGTGGTCTTGCTTTACCCGCCCTCATCAACTCGCCTCCGTCATGAGCATCACATTCACCCCTCCTCCCATGGCTCAGCATCCTCACTGAGATTTGCCCCGCCATCTGAACCAGCTGAATATGATGGAGAGGAATAGGTAATCGAAGTACATGCAAACGAGATTGTTTTGGAGAAGCCATCCATAATACTGTCAATGGCCAACGAATTGGTTAGATATGAGAACATGCAGTTGTTTGACATCTCCAAATTAGATCGCATCTGGACTAGCTAAAATGGATGGTGAAGTTTATATATTAATGGGATGGAATTTGACTTGTACCTTCAGAAAAAGAGTATTACAGTAAAGAACAACTAACACTTATTTTTGGACTAAGAACAAAAAAAGGCATGGGGAAAGGAAGAAAAACCTTAAAGGAAAGTGAATATTCCAAAAACAGAAAGGAGAAGACATCAGAAACCACCAAGCAAATTAAGCTGAGGTCCACAAAGGAATTGATTGCTTCTCTTTTTCTTGTAATTCAAACCACACAAGTCTTATAGATGACGACCCCTTATTAGATAGGACAGATGTACTTTACACGTATATATATATATATAAGGGCTAGACCAATATGCATGGTGTTGATTCTTGTTTATTTTGAATAAATGACCCTCGAGCAAGTTTCTACCATATATATGAATTAATATATATAAGGGCTAGACCAATATGGGCTAGACTATTTTTCACCCCATATAATTAAATTATTTTTCAAGTAGTATCGACATATATAAATTATGTATATACACACATTTACATATTTTATTCTTAGTGTTACACCACTTGGTTAAAGGTGTGTCACCCACCAGATGCAACATCACAGGGCGGAGCTTGCCCATGAACTTAGTAATTTTATTTCAAACTTTATATTTATCTTTATAAATTCATTAAATATGTATTAATTATTAAGTTAAAATATAATCCAATAGCTTAAAAGAATTAGAACTTCAAACCCGTAAACTTAAAATCCTCGCACGGTCTCACGGCACCACATAAAACTAAAGCTAAAGAAGTAGTTTACGTGTATCCTATGCATATAGGCCGGCTATATGTCTGTAGCTCGACAGCCAATGACAGTGTTAGCCGTCAACACACCCTTATCATATAAACTTGAATGTCGAATTATGTGCATGAAAAATGATCGTTTTTACCATTTCTTACCACTTCTTAGTTCTTATGCTACTCAATTATTAGGGTTGACCATTAGTGTAAGTGTTTGTATTCTTTTTTTTTCTCTCTGTATATTGTTTTTTATTACGGGAATCTTAGAATAATAGTAAAGTTATTTTTGTATGATATAAGTTATGGGATCGGATCGTGGAAACAGTCACTAATGTTTGTATCAAGGTAAGTTGACTATGTCACGACTATATTGTTTCTTATTACGGGAACCTTAGAGTAGTATTAAAGTTGTTTTTGTATGATGTAAGTCACGGGATCGAATCGTAGAAGCAGTCACTAATGCATCAAGGTAAGTTGACTATGTCACGTCTTTATTGGGGTCACTTCTTATGCTACTCAATTATTAGGGTTGACCATTAGTGTAAGTGTTTGTATTCTTTTTTTTTCTCTCTGTATATTGTTTCTTATTACGGAAACCTTAGAGTAATGGTAAAGTTGTTTTTGTATGATATAAGTCATGGGATCGGATCGTGAAAGCAGTCACTAATGTTCGTATCAAGTTAGTTGACTATGTCACGTCTTTATTGGGGTCACTTCTTATGCTACTCAATTATTAGGGTTGACCATTAGTGTAAGTGTTTTTTTTTTTCTGTATATTGTTTCTTATTACGGGAACCTTAGAGTAGTAGTAAAGTTGTTTTTGTATGATGTAAGTCACGGGATCGGATCGTGGAAGCAGTCACTAATGTTTGCATCAAGGTAAGTTGACTATGTCACGTCTTTATTGGGGTCACTTCTTATGCTACTCAATTATTAGGGTTGACCATTAGTGTAAGTGTTTGTATTCTTTTTTTTTCTCTCTGTATATTGTTTCTTATTACGGAAACCTTAGAGTAATAGTAAAGTTGTTTTTGTATGATATAAGTCATGGGATCGGATCGTGAAAGCAGTCACTAATGTTCGTATCAAGGTAAATTAACTATGTCACGTCTTTATTGGAGTACAGTCCTTCTCCGAATACTACGTGAACGTGGGATGTATTTTTGTGCACCAACTGCCTTTTTATATATCGTTTCTTATTAGATAAGAAGGGATAGATGAAATCCTGCACTGATACAAGTGCTGATATGTACGTTGCTCGACAAAGCTTTGAGACAAGTATATAAGACTTTGAGGTAAAACTATAATAGCTATACGTAGTGAAACAGATCCAAGAAGTCTACATCTTAAACTAAACTCGTGCCCTACTCAATGCCATTTTTAATTATATATACGCCAATGAGATCAAAATGTAGATAACATTGCTCCCTCGAGCATTAATGTTTCCTAGTCTTCTTTTCTCATTATTTTTGGGGTAGGAATGGGATCTTAAGAATTTGAGTGAAGCAATAATAATTAGAGGGAATAATTAAGAATTGGAATAATTTAGGGATTTCAACTCCGACTCTCAAATAAATACTATTCTAAATAAATAAGGTGAAACAAAGAAAGACATGAAATTAAAATTAAATTGGAAATCTCACATGAGGTGTATGAGTTACAACTAAAGGAAAGTGAAGCTTCTTGTATTGGAGGTAATGTGTGTTCATGTTGATGCATAACCTTGATAAGACTTGTTTTCATATGGAAATCAAATAATCACTTACTTGAGGTGACTTAACTATTAAAAATGGACTGTTTTATTAGAAAGAAAAGAATAATAAATGATGGCAACCAAATTGCAAAGAAAAAGGCGGTGAAAGCAGCCACTAATTAATACTTGCATTAGAGTAGACTATTTACGTCACACTTTTTGAATGCGGCCCGGCCCTTTTTCGAATTCTACGTCAGCACAGATACTTTGTGCATCAGACTGCCCTTATCCCTATTGTAGAGGCCGAGGGTAGGGGCGGATTTAGGGAGGCGGAAGGGGTACATCCGAACCCTTTTCGCCGAAAAATTACATTGTATACTTAAGGCAAAATCTGTTTTGTACCTATATATATTATGTTTTGAATTCTCTTAACATAGCCTAAAAGCATAGTTCAATGATCAAGATAATTCGAAAACTTTGTGAGGTTACCGGTTCAATTCTCACTAATCCCAATTTTCTTTCATTTTTTCACTTTATTTATTTTTTGAATTTTTTTGCGAAAATTCTTTCTCCGCCACTGGCCGAGGGTGGGCCCTATTGCAAGCCATGACCATAGCAATCATGAAGAGAAACTTTGCTTGGCTGGAAATAAAACCTCCATAAAAAATATATATATATTAGCCTTCAAAAACACAAGGTCTTTTACTCTCACTCATCACCAGAACCATATATAGTAGGAGTACAATATCTGTCTCTTTCTCATCCCTACAGCTTTTTGCCATTTCTTCCCTATTTCTTGCTCTCTTTCTAGCTTTTTATTCTAATTCCATTCTCTATATTCAGATTCTTTCCTCTTTAATCCAAAAAACCTATTGAACAATGAAGGTATATATGATTCTTCATTCATTTATCCTGTTTCATCACTTTCCTTTTTTACTTTTTCCACTTTAATTTCGGAATATTATTTCAGGAAATTAATATTCAACTTTTGCTTTATTTTGTCTGTCTTTGGATATCTGTATGAGTTGTTATTTGCTTTTTGCTAAGTACTGTTTATCTCTACTTTCTACAGTTTATGATCTTTTTTTTTCTTTTTTTTTTTTTGAAATTTTTTATCTGCAGAAATTTATTCTGAAATTAGATTTGGAAGATGATAGAGAAAAAAGGAAGGCCTTGAAAATTGTGGCTGCTCTTCCAGGTAATATTGGACTACGTACCCTTTTCTACATTTTTTACTTATTAAGATTAATGAGGTCAAATATATTAATGACAGTTAGTTTGTATTAATTTACACTAACAGGAAAAAGAAGGAAAAAAAAAAAGAGCAAATATTTAATATGTGTACGTTGATACTTGAATGACGCCACGTCAAATGGCTCCTTTATAATTACAAGCTGTCCTTCTCCAAAAGTCAGCAACTCACCCTAAATAAAAGATTCAACTTGCGTATCTAAATAATTTAATAGTCAAAGAATTTAAAAAAAAAAAAAAGTTTGCTTTTGAATAATCTATGAGATTTTTATTTATCTGCTGTTGTGTAAAAATGTGCTACTTAAAGTGGGCGTTTGGACATAAGAATTGTAAAATTCCAAAAAAACAAAAAGTGAAAATGGTATTTGAAATTTAAAGTTATGTTTGGAAATGAATAACATTTTGGGTTGTTTTTGAAGTTTTGTAAGTGATTTGAGTGAAAATTTTAAAAAAACAGCTTTTTGGAGTTTTTTAAATTTTCGAAAAATTTCAAAATGCATCTTCAAGTGAAAATTAAAAATATTATTAACAAACGTTGATTTTAAAAAAAGTGAAAAATTTCTTATGTCCAAACGGGCTCGATCAGCCGCTGAGAAGTTTCAACTGTATAAGTTTTTAACCTAGAAAGGAGGATCGTTAATTCGTTGTAGTCATTCAAATTACATTGAATAATTAATAGGCGTTTGGACAGAAATTACAATTTTTCAACAAAAAAATAGTATTTGAAGTTATGTTTGAACATGCATTTCACTTGAAAAGTTTTGCAGTTTTGTGAGGGAAAACAAATATTTACTTGAAAAAGTGGTTTTCTTTTAAAAAAAAAAAATCCAAAACCAAACAATGTCTTGAAGATGAGTTTTGGAAAAAAAGAATTTCTGTTTTATGGACGAACGGGTCTTTAGATATTTGCATTTTTGTTACCAAAAGTTAAAGGATAAACCTTAAGCTATAATTCTATAATTTTGGGTTTGTGAGTATCATAGCTTAGATGATTGTCACAATATTACCTTGATTTAGGTAGTAATCGTGTCACATCAATAGATATAAATTTGTAGCATGGTCAATATACTCCTACTTAATGAGCAAAAATGAACAATGTGAAGTAGGTTCATCCAAAAGTTCGTCTTGAATATATCATGACATTTCTAAAGTAAACGCGACAAAAAATGAGATTAACTCAGCCGAGATTTTGCAGGAATTGATGAAATTTCAATGGATATGAAAGGTAAAACATTAACCGTTATTGGAACAGTTGATCCAATTATTGTGGTGAGCAAATTGCGCAAATTTTGGGCAACAGAAATAATGTTAGTAGGTCCAAAAGAGGAACCAAAAAAAGAAGAACAAAAAGAGGAAGGCAAGAAAGAGGAAGAAGCAACCAAAGAGGAAGCAAAGAAAGATGAGCCAAACAAGGAAGGAGAAGACAAGAAAGAAGAAACAAAAAAGGAAGGAGAAGAGAAGAAAGCAGAAGCAGTTGTAGGCATGGTAATGCCATATAGACCTTATTATTATTATCATCATCCTATGCACACATATAATTACCAAGTTCATCACAACATAGAAGAGAATCCTAATGCATGTGCTATATGTTAATTTATTTTTTACGAATCAGAGCGATAAAAGGATGAATCTTAGTTAATCGTGTGACAGCCAGGTCATTTCGAAAATATCCTGTCACGTTATGTTATATATTTTAAATTGGTTGGGACACTTTGGGATTTTATATGTATGTGTATGTGTATGTGTATGTGTATGTATATGAATATCTATATTTTTGTGCTTCTCTTTAGTTGGTCTTGGTTTATACTATAGGTGTTTATCGGGCGGGCTGGGACGAGCTGGACACAAAAATGGTCAGCCCATTAGGGATACGGGCGGGTTGTTAGCGGGCTGAAGTTAATGGGCTGGTGGCGGGCTGGGGTTTTTCGGGTTCTATAGGGCCCGTACGGGTTCGGGCGGGTCGGGCTTTCATTTTTTTTAATATTATTTTTAACTATCTTATATTTTTCTTTTAACGGTCAGATTTAATTTAAAATACAAAATAAAAAAATTAGGCGGTTTTGCGGGCTGCGGCCCGTTAAGAACCCGTTAAGGGCTTAACGGGTTGTGGCGGGTTCGGGTACCCGTTTGGCGAAAACTTAACGTTACTAGCCCGCCCCCCGTCTAACCCATCCCAACCCGCACACATATGCATAGTAACGGGCTGGACCGGGTTGAACCGGGTTGTTAGCGAGTCAGCCCGGCCCGATTAACACCTCTAGTTTATACTATTAATTTGAACCCAAGACTAGCTTTCATGAATATTAGAGGAGTTTTTGTGAATAAACAATGATCCCATATTTGTCTCTTCAGAATTAAATATTAATATTGTGTAGAGAGAATTCAAAAAGAACTTTGCTGCCATTTTTTTTTTTAATTACTACACATAATTTCAGTGAGATGTTGTGCTTGTCACGAACCTCTATTCTTGCAGTAGAATGCAATTTTGATAGTAATATTATTCCATTTAAGGTGGATTTTATTATAGAGAAGCTATTGTAAGCACGTGATTTTTGCCCTATGAAAAGGAGGTGTGACAGTTATGTAGCAGCTTGTTAATTTATTTATGTTTGTAATCCGATAGAGTAACTTGTGAACCAAACAACTCGTTAATGCATCAATGTCAGAGGATTGCTGGTTGTTCTTTGATGGTAAGCAAACTTCCAACCGAGAGGTTGTGAGTTCGAGTCTCCCCAAGAGCAAGGTGGGAAGTTCTTGGAGGGAAGGATGTCGGGGGTCTATTTTGGAAACAGTCTCTCTACCCTAGGGTAGGGGTAAGATCTGCGTACACACTACCCTCTCCAGACCCCACTAAGTGGGATTATACTGGGTTGTTGTTGTTGTTGTTGTTGTTGTTGTTGTTCTTTGATGTAACAGGTCACTTTGGGTGGTCTACCTTGGAACTAAAACCTAGCCGCAGAAAGAAATTTCATTCATTTATTTTTATGTTTTCAAAATAATAAATTAAGCAAATAAAAAAGGTAAATTTCAACCGAAATGGAAAACCAGACAAATAGTAAAGCATATGGTATCTTGATTTTATTATGCTTTTATTGTTACCACATGCAAATTATTGTGTGATAATTCAAATTCGTACCGCGTAGGGAGAGAAAAATGCTTTCTGTCAGATTTTTTCCATTCTCAGAAATGATCTTACGTTTTTGCGGAGACCTGTGTTTTTGGTAAGTAGTGGTCACTACAAACCCTTTGTGAGGAGGTATCAAATCCGAGACATCTGATTAAAAATTTAAATAATATTTAAATGCAGGCATTATTTATAATATCCTAGAAATTTCCAAAATTGTAATCTGAATCAATAATAATGGAAGCCTTTTTTGGCATAATCACAAACGTGGGCGGCATTTGGCGACAAAGAGAAGCTGTCACCTTTTCCAGTTTCTTATAAGATCAAGAAAGTATGTAAAAAAACTATAGTAATTATTTTTAAAATAAAATTTTTGTACACTGAAGATATATTAAGGATTGAAAACGAAGAATCGAAGAAAAAAAAACAATGAGGATTGAACTCACACGTATTATACGTGTAATATATACTAATAGAATGTATGTCTTGAATCTTGATAGTAAATTGTTGCAATTGAAATCTCCAAATGGATCAAAATTTACTATAAATAATAGTATATAGAGTACCATATAGATTACGAAAATTTACTCTCTATAGGATCCATATAACTGGAACCAAACTCTAATTCTCTAACGGTAAATACTTATCCACACCGGGTGTTTACATCAAACTATATTAACTCATTATGGTTAATTAATTTAATTAGATGAGAATGCACGTAATTTACCATGGTTAAATGTTTGAAGGTCATATGCAAGACACATGTCATATATTTATTGGTTTGGTGTAAACACCCGAAGCGAGTAAGTTTTTACATTCTCTAGGTTAACACTACTGTTTTCCTGTTTATTTCAATTAAAATTCGGAAAAAGGTGCAAATTTAACGCTGAAATATTCAATTTTGTCTTATATTTGTCCTTTATTTATCTTTTACATTTGTCCTTCCTTTAACGCTCCATAGGATGAAATGAATCATGACTAATGATGACAAAATAAAAAACAATAATAATTTTCCATCTATCCACTAAAAATTAATTGGATAATGAATTTTTAAAAATGGATCAAATATGGTTAAGATCCATATTATTCACTTAACCAATGAATAACCAATGTGTTTAACTTTTGCATTGCAAAAATTCAAATTGGGAGTTCCTAAAATTTGGGAGATTAAGGATTCTCCCTGAAGTGATCATATTCCCGAAGCCGAAGATAATATGAATATTCATATTATCTGCTGGCTAACCCATTTTCTAGCCATATTAAATATAAATAGGGTCAAATATATCCGACCCGCCAATTCACTTCACGTTGCTATTAAAAAATGAAGTCACCAATTTTCGTGAATTTGGAAAACTTTATGGGATCAATAATTAGTGACCAAAAGCTTAGCTACTACTTAATCAATTATTTTTTAAAAATATTAGTTTTGGTACGTTATGCAAAGCGAGACAATTTATTGAAATGTTCCAGAGTTAACAATGAGAGATTAAAATTAAGAAAATCGTCCATGCACGTTTTGCTTCTTAATTATTTGACGTGTACGTTTTAGGTTTTGGGTGAGATTTTTATATGGTTGCTCCCTTTTTAAAAATTATTTTAATAAATAATAGTAATCTTTGTTTATTTTAAAATTGACACATTTTTTTAATACTTTTTAGCACTTTCACTTTAGTAACTCATTAACTAAGGGATCCTTCTACATCAATACACTTTTATTACATTTCCTTTTCCCTATCTCTTTCATAATTTTTTCTTCTCTTCCATAAATAACACTTACCCAAATATATTAAAGAATCTGAAAAAAGAACATCTAAAAAATAATCCCCTCTTTTACGAGGTTGCACAATGGGAATTTTAGTTTTTTTTTCTTTAAGTTTTAAGGTTTCTAATTGTCTGAACATTTAGATTTATAATCATGTATGAAGTAATAAATTTAGTAAATATTTATGAATATGTAACCACATATTTTTTATTTAATAATTTTATATTCTATTACATTTGAATATAATAGTTACAGATTCATCGTATTTTTTTAGAATAAATTTAAAAATTTATGGTATTTTTTTAATATAAATTTGTCATAATAAATTTAAAAATCTTTTATGCCATGATTTTCTCGACCTTTTCACTAGTTTCTCTCCCTCCCACAAAATTCAATCAATAAATAAAATGAAAGGCTTTAAACATAAAGCATTCATGAGTCATTTTTATACTTTATATATAATAGTAATATTATATAATATATAAATAATTACAATGTGCTCTAAATATATAATATTTACACAATAAATATGTGATATATTTTATATTATAAAATTTAATATTCTAAATATATGTCGTATATAATTATCATATTGAGAAAACAAATTATATACTATGTATATCCAAAAGATAATAAATTACATTTTTTGGCGTTTTACAATCATAAAACTGAAATTCTGCCCGATTCCCATATTTTCATGTGCTATAGCCCACGCCTTCCGCCGTGAGCCTAGGCCCCCGAACTCGGATCGCCTAATATTTTTTCGAGATATCAATTACGACCTAAGGAACCATAGTCACCACCCCGCCATGACCAAATTATATTTCCCAAATTACATCGTGGGCCCAAGCCCCTAGACTCAGATCGCCTAATATTTTTCTGGGACATCAAATACGATCTAAGGAACCATAGTCACCGCCTCATCATGACAAAATTACATTTTTTGGCGTTTTACGGCCATAAAATTGGAATACCGCCTGATTCCCATATTTTAGTTTGCTATAGCCCACGCCTTTCGCCGTGAGCCCGGACTTCCGGACCTGAATCGCCTAATATTTTTCAGGGATATCAAAATACGACCTAAGGAACATAGTCACTGTCCCATCATGACTAAATTATTTTTTTTTGGCATTTTATGGCCATAAAAGTAAAATTCCGCTCAATTCCTATATTTTCGTGTGCATAGCCCACACCTTCCGCGGTGGGCCCGGGCCCCCGAACCGAATCGCCTAAAAAATTTTCGGAACATCAAATAGGGCCAAAGGAACCATAGTCACCGCCTTTCCATGACCAAATAATATTTTTTTGGTGTTTTACGGCCATAATATTGGAATTTCGCATGGTTCCCATATTTACGTGTGTTATAGCCCAAGCCTTCCGCCGTGGACCCTGGCCCCCGGAACTGGATCATCTAAAATTATTCAAGGACATCAAATACGACCTAAGGAACCATAGTACCGCACCGTCATGACCAAATTACATTTTTTGACGTTTTACGGCCACAAAACTAGAATTCCGTCCCATTTCCATATTTTCGTGTGATATATCCCACGCCTTCTACCGTGGGCTCGGTCCCCTGGACCCGGATCGCCTAATATTTTTTTGGGACATCAAATATAACCTAAGGAACCATAGTCACCGCCCCGCCATGACCAAATGACATTTTTGGCATTTTAGGGCCATTAAACTGCAATTCCGCCCGATTCCCATATTTTCGTGTGATATAACCCACGCCATCCATTGTGGGCCCGAATCCTGGACCCGAATCGCCTAATATTTTTCAGGGACATCAAATACGACCTAAGGAACCATAGTCACCACCCCTCCATGACCAAATTACATTTTTGGCATTTTACGACCATAAAACCGGAATTCCGCCCGATTCCCATATTTTGATGTGCTA